AATCTAGATGAAGTTTGAAAGTTTCAGAAAACACAATATATTATAAATATGCATTATTTTCAGGCTTCAGGATCTCTACCTCAATCCTAAAAGATGGTTCACACATCTCATATAAATTAAATAATCGGATCCGCTAATATTAAGACCAGATGTAAACAGAAAGGAATTCAAGGAGTTTCTAAAAAATTTAATTCATTAGTACGAAGTATTTTTGCAATTTGAATCTTAGTGGATTAAAGAAAATTATAGAAGAAAATCAAAACAAACCGATACGAGCAGTCAAATCCCGATTTGAACTAACGACAGAACCATGTTTTGCTTTGTGATTTTCAAAGTCTTCATTCAAATCGTTATAAGCTGCTGCAAGTTCGTCATTTTCTCGCCTGAAATGTTACTCCTTTTTCCTAAAAAGAATATAATTTTGATGTTGATGGTTCAAAAGCAGACCTCGTCAAGCAAAATTATAAAAAGGAGTGTCCTTATAGACCAAGAAATTTTCACAGCAATCAACCTGAGCTTTTCTAATTCTCGATCTAATTCTGCTTGATCTTTTGATGTGCTCTCCGAAACTTCGGCTCCCATCACTTCGCCGAGCTTTTCAATGTTTTCTGCCATCTTTGATTCCTCACTGTTTTTGTTTTCTTTATAAGAATTCAACAGTAATTGTAAATTCGCCACTTCATTTTGTAGTTCTTCAATTTCTGCTCTAAGAAAAATTACATTAGTTAAAACATTATGCAATTAGCTGAACTACAAGATGTCTTCCTAATTTGTAAGTTTAATTTTACCTGCTCTGTTCTCTCTCGCCACTAATTTCATTTTCAAACTTTTCACGCTGCGTATCAACGATATGGTGCACTTCTCTCACTTCAGTTTGCAACTGAGAAATATAAGAACTACAAAAAGAGATTATGAAATTAGTGAACTATTTTCACAAAATTGTAATGCTAAATGTCAAAAATCAATTGCAGTAAAAAACTTTACCTGACTATAAAACGCACCAATACAATAATAATTATACTAGCTACCTAGCAAAATTCTTTTAATCGAAGAGAATAATAATTATACTAACAATCTAGCAAAATCCTTTTAATGGAAGAGAATTCCAGGGCACTAAAATTGAAATAAGCTTTGACATTATATCATCACCAACAAATTCGTTTTTACTTCTATATCTAACTAACAAAAATACTAACCTTTTTTCAATAATTTCTCCCTGCGCTGCGTGCAATTGCTTCTCCAAGTTTTCACGTTGTTGTTCTAATTCATTTAACCGTTCACTAAGCACTATATCAACTGCTTGAAATGTCAACTTGTCTACCTGATCCTCTTGTATTTCATTTTCTTCTTCAATGGACTTGATCTGCAGCTTCCTTTCATTTCTTCTTGATTGACAAACAAAGACAACATAACCACTAGTAATTCATCAAAAATTTTCGCCGAAAATCTTGTGAAGTGCTTCGAAATTTAAAGAATCAACACTGGTGAATGACTGTCCAATAAAAATGAATTAAAAATATTAAAACCACTGAAGATCTCACTTTTGCCAACAATAGATCTCGTTCTTCTGTCAACAAATGCACTTGTTCTTTCCAGGTATCATTCTCCGAAATATATTGTTCAGTGTAGCATCCGGAACTTTCGTCTTTTTTATTGGGATTCTAGAACTTTATTGCAAATTCAGTATTGGTCTTAAAAATAAATAAATTCACATGTTTCTGATTTATTATATAAAGCTATCAGTGTCTAATTATGTTTTTTATAAAGAACGAATTTGAAAAAAAAAATTTCATTTTTAAAATTTCCTTATAAAATTTCCATTATTCAACGATAAATTTCGGCACGCTTAACTGACATAATAGCAGAAAACGTTTGGTATTCCGATTCATAAATTTGTGCATGAATAGTTAGACTGATAAATATAACCAATTTGAAAATATCATAGAACAATAAGTCAGAATACAATAACTAAATTGAGCCATCGTATCATAATGATATCAAAATGGTCAAAACAATATCAAATTGATTATAAACTAAATATTCACGATAAAAAAAAACTTCTAAGTATAACTAACCCTGTCTTCTTGATTCAGAGACTTCAGCTCAGCAACCGTTTCATTATGAGCCATAATTAATGCCGCAACTTCATTTTCAAACTTCGTTTTTTGTTCAGCCAAAATACGTTCCAATTCTGACACCTATAAAGATAAGAACCTCAAGTAATTTTCTTAAATTGTCATATAAAATAGCAAAGATACCAGAGTAGAAATTCATCCCTAACAATACGTAATAATGCAACAGTTTTATAATAATTAAATCATAGTTCTAAATTTAAGAATAATTCAGAAACTAAACAAGGAAACCTTCAGAGCTTCACTTTTTTCTGATTGCTCGTTAACAAGACGCTTCCAGTGAGCGGCTTCCTTACGAAGCTGATCGATTTCATCCCTCATGCGTGCAACACGAGCATTATTAGCTGGGAAAAACCCGTCCTCATCTCCATCACTTAATGATTCTTGAACTGCATAATGTGTTCTTTCTAATTCTGCCTGTAGTTTAATTTTTCATAAAAAAGGGAAAAAACCCTATAAAAATGACATTTTTGCTATAAAATGTACACTTTAAAAGTAATATTGTAAAAACGTTTACTTCAGAAATAAAACCTTAATTAAGATAGCTCTTTCAACCAATGAAACGTTAAATTTCAAACAAAAGTATTCAAAAATATTCAAGTGAGACTTGAAAAAAGAATACAGGATGATACTAAATTTGATAAAAAAAGCGATGCTGACATGTCACGAAAATTATACCTGTAACGCACGGATCTGAGTGTCGCGACTTTCAATCACACTAGTGTATTTGCCATTTATATTATCAAATTCGAGATTTTTCGCATAAAGCTCTTCCTCGAGATTATCAATTTTCTTTTTTAACCTTTGCACGTTCTCTTTTTCAGTACTAAGTTCTTTCTCTGTTTCCAAGAGTTTTTTTCTGGCAACCTTAAAGCAGCATTGAAATGTACATTGAAATCTAGAAGACTTGCTTAAAAAACAGCAATAATAGTAAAATAAATGAATAGACAATAATAATAAACAAATAAATAAATAAAATAATAACAAAAATAAATAACAATGACAATGAATAATAATAATACTAATAATTATAATAAATAAATAATAATAACACTAATAATTAAGAATAATGATGACAACAATAATAAATAATAATAATATGATGCTGACAAATATGAAAATTCAAATAACAGCAATAATTAAAGAGCAACTAATCTCACCAAAAAAATTTTTTTTCAAAAAAATATTGTAAAATGTACGATGGCTTTCATTTTAATAATAAATAATAATAATATTAATAATCAAATAATAAACAAACAATGAGAATAATTAGTAAGAAACAAACTGCTAGAAAAAAAAAACAAATATTTAAAAAAGGAAAAATATAAAATATTAGATAGATTTTTTGGCTAATACATATAGTAGAAACTATTACAATACCTGTAATTCACTTTCCGGATCAGTCACCTCTTCCGCCGCCTCATTTAGCACTTCAGATGCAAATTCTGACAATTGTCCCTGAATATTGCGTAGCCAAGAGCCCATCATTCACTCATTTTCTCTTTTGAATGAGACAAACTTGAATTTAATCCCTGAAAAATGTACCATTTGACATGTACTTACTCACTTACTTACTTACTGACAAGTACTTACTTACTTACTTATTTTCTTACTGCACTGGGAAAAATCCGAGCAGAAAAGGAAACTACCGAGAATACCAGTCGAGAATACAGATTATCACTTCAAGACCAGTTTTGCTTAATTAAGCTCTCAATTAATCACAAAATTATTTTTGCATTTAATCCTTTTCTCTCTGCTCATACAAGCAAATTCATTGTCTTCTTTTTCTCTTTTTTCATCTTTTCTTTTCCTACGTTTTCTTTCTTTTTTGTTTTTGTTTTTTTAGGGAAAAAAAATTTGAGAAATCGGAAAAAAAATTTTTGATCTTTTTTTTTGTTTCACAAAAAGTTAAGCTTAAAAGTGCGGGAAAGGATATAAAAAAGCATAATTTATTAGTCAGAAATAAATATCAATATTATTGTAAATTGAAAATCAATCCAATTCCTTGTTTTTCCAATTAAATTTTTATCTCTTTTTGAACTAAATTTTATTTGTACTGCTAATTGATTCAGAGATTCTGATAAATTCCATAATATTATTATGCTTAATTCTTATTATAATTCTTATCATACATTAATTTTTTTTTTGCATTTTCAAAATAATCGCAGAATTCGTTTCAAAAATATGCAAACTGTTAGAATTATTCCACGATAAGAAATACAATAATTTATGGTTAAAATGCTAATAAGTTTTGTTTCATTTTTCAACATAGTTAAAGTAAATGAATTAAAGTAAATGATAAAGTTTAATTAAAGTAAATGATAAAGTGTTATGTCGGAAAGTATTAGTGAAACTAAGAAAATGAAATTTCCGTTGTACGATTTATCAGTGAAATGATAATTCGAAATCGAAATTAAAATCAATTTTTTCTTTCTATTACAAATTTTCTAATTTAAATTTTGCTATGAGATAATGTGATTCTTTGTGTATCAGTAATAAAAATCTATCGATTAAACGATTCGCCAATAATCAAACCAACATCACTTATTGACGTCATCAATTTTAAAAGAATAGAAAATGCCTTTGTTAAAAGTATTTTGCAAAAATTTTTTATGTATAATTAAAAGATGAAATTTTGTTAGGAATAATATTTTTTCGAAAATTTTCACTAATTTAAATGACACATTTATAAAATTTGATATGATTAAAAAATTTTCCACTAACTTTTCACTTTACTTATAAATTGGAATAAACTGTGATAAAGTATTTGAAAATAAAATGATCGAATTAATTGACGCAGTATTTTTAATGTTTACAAGATTTTTGCTTTTTTTTTTTTAATCAGTTAATTTGTTATTAGTTGAAAATATGCTTATCATATCAACAGTAGCATCAGTATTCATTGCTTTTTGGTCTTTTATGATTTGTACTGTAAATTTGACCGATGGTGATCATCTTCCACGACGTTATGTAATAAATTTGGATTTGGCTCCAGAAAATCGTTGGGATAGAATTATCGATGATCATAAAAAATTTATTCCGACAATTATTGAGGAAATCAAGTAATTACTATAAAAGTTTATGAAATTTGAAAGATTTTACAAATGGATATTTAAAACGATAATTACTTTCTTTTTTCTTTTGAGCAACTAATTTAGCAGTTAACAAAAATTAGGAAACTTTTTTTTTTCTCTTATTTCTAAATAATAATTTATACAATTTTAGCCACTATGTGCCAAAGTTGCTACGTCCAATTGTATGGTGGATTGATGAAAATATTTTGCTCAAAAATTTCCCAAACGAATATGCCCAAGAAATACGTGGTTCTCTCTTATTTCGAACTTATTATATGTGAAATATAAGATTGTTATAATAAAAGTAGCATCTATTTATATAAAACAAAAATAAAAAAAAAAAAAAAATAAGCAACTTTTACAATTTGAAAATTATATATGTAAGGTACTCTTTTTTTTTTTTTTTGGTTAAATGAAGAAAACTATTAATTTATTTTTAGGCATTGCAAAACGAAGTGGCCTTAGTATTGGTGAAATAGTTGGTATAAATATTCTGTACGACATTTCCGCTTTTAATCGTAAACAGTTTAGTGTTAATTGTGTAAATTGTTAATTATATATTTCAATATTGCAATAGTTTTTTAATTTTGGATTTTCCAAAGTGTTTTTTTTTTTTTTTTTAATTCTTTATAATTGTTAAATTACTCTAAAATCTTTCACATTATTTTACTTTAATGAAATACGATTAGGCCAAATTCTAAATTGAAACAAAATATATTTTAGCATATTAGCAAATATTGGTTGTACGTCTATTGTTGCACAAGATTATAGAGGGCAAATAATTCATGGCAGAAATTTGGATTATTTAATGACATCACTTCTTCGAAATTTAACAATTATTGTTGACTTCACAAGAGGAGGAAATGTAATATTACATTTATATAATTTTTTCTTTTTTTCAAATTCAATTTAAACTTTTTTCTTTTTGGTACTGTAAGAAAAAAATTCATCTAAAAGTATTATTTTGAGATTATTTTTAGGATAAATAATCATTTGAAATTAACTAAATGTGCAATGTTTGGAGAAAAGTAGAAAATATATTTAGGTACTTTATACTGCAGTAACTTTTGCATTAAGTGTTGGCATATATACTGGACAAAGGCATGGCTCATTCTCGATCAGTGTTAATGAGCGCTGTTAGTTAATTAATTAAATTATTATTTAAATTTTATACTCTCTAGTATTACTTTAGTTATCAATTTTTTTTTATTTTGCAATTTTTAAATTTTACAAATTTTTGAAAAAAATTTTTTTTTCTACAGATTCTGGAGCTTACATTGATACAATTTTAATGGAATTTTATACGCATTTTACAAAGCTAGTAACATTTACTGTTCGAATGGTATATATAAAGTTTGAATATTTATTAGCAAATATGAATGATATCATGGAATTTAAGAAATTCCAATCAGTTTAAATCAAATTTGTGAATTTAAATGTTAAAAATTAAATCTAAATTTAAAAGTTAGAAGAAATTGATAGAATATCGTAATTTAATCAGTGATATTAATTTTTATATGCAATAGGCACTTGAAGAGAAAAGTACATTTGAAGAAGCACGTGAAATGCTAATGAAAGAACATTTTATTGCTCCATCATATTTGATTATAGCTGGTACTGAAGTAGGACAAGCTTGCATCATAACAAGGTTTTATCATTATTTTATGCTAATTTTATTTCAAATCATATTTTATTTACTTTTTCTTTTTGTTTTAATTCATTTAATTTTATCATCATTTTAAAAAATTTCTTTTTTTAGAGATCGTTGGAAGGCTGCAGATTTGAAATGTATTGATTCACAAAGTGATCGATGGTTTTTAGTGGAGACTAATTTTGATCATTGGAAAGTCGATAAGGATAAACGTCGGTTTGTTTTAAATAATAAATTACATTTAAAGATTTGAAAGAAAAAGAAAAGAAAAAGTCAAAGTAAATATTAAATGAAGTGCTATTATGCATTTACAAATAAATCTTAGTAACATTTAAAACTTTTCAAGAAATAACAATAATAACAGAATTGTTAATTTCTTTTCTTTTTTTTTAGTAGAATAGCAGAAAAAGCCCTTCGGCAAATTGGCAAACATTTTCTATCATATGGAGAAATGCTTCAAATTCTTTCGCTTTATCCAATTAAAAATAAGTGAATTTTTTTTTCTTTTTTTTTTTTAATAACAAGAAGAAAGGATTTTTCCGAAATAGAAAAAAAAAAAAAAACATATTTTTATTCGATAATAAAAAAGAAACGATGATTTGTTTTTTAATTTTTTTAAAAAAAAAAATTGAATAATGATATTTTTCTTTTTCTGAAAAAGCGATTTTTTTTTTTAAAAAAAAAAAAATTGTGCCATGAAAAGTTTTTTAGTTTTTTCTACTATTTATATTATAAAGTAGACTTTTTCTTTTTTTTTTCCTTTTAAGCCAAATAGTAATTAGTTTTAACCAAATAATAATTAAATAAGTTTATTATTCCCTAAAATGATTTATTCATTTACAATGATTATACTTTTTTTATGGTGATAACTACTTTAACAATATATTGTAATCATTGATGAGATAAGTAAAATTCAAAAATGACTTCTATGATACAATTATTATTTTTAAATAAAAATTGAAAACCTTAACGGTTCATTTTATTATCATATTTCATTTTTAAAATTTAATTATGATTAAATGATAAGAAAAAAAAAATTCTTTAAACTAAAATATCACGTATTACAGCAATACAGTTTTTTCAACAGTGATGTCACCATTGGATGAGAATGTTTTGTATGGTTATACTATTGTTTGGGAATAAAATATCACTGATAATATTTTCCCACATTTATTGCTACTTCTTTTTATAAATTCATCGTTTATTTCTTCCATAATATTTTCTATTAATTTTTTTATTAGCAACATTTCATCTTTTATATTATTTTATATTGATTATTGTAAAAGTTTGTCTTTTTTTAATCAGTAAACGAAAGATTGAAATATTTAAGATATTTCTTAAATTAAATTCTATTGTGTTTACATTGCCATTTTCGCATGTTTCAGCAATACAATAAACAATATTATGAATGAAAATAAAAAACTTTCTTTGTCTTTTTTTAATGTGATTTGTAATAGTATCGGTATATTTGATAAAATAACTTATAGTAAATAATTTGCATAATCATTTTGTTGATGACGATTTTTTCATTTAGACAATAAAATCTTTTCTTTTGTGCCATAATAGAACTTAAACACTTAAAAACTATGAATGTATAATTTAAATTAATGAATCTATGAAAATTATTGATTCATTAAATAAGTAAGAAATGTGTGAAATTAAATTGGCAACATGAGAAAGAAACTGTTTATTTTATAGCAAAAACATTTCAATTTTATTAGTGATGATTTTTTTTTTTTATTTATAAAACTTTTGCACTGTTCCAATTTTACATTAACTTATAATTATCATTGAAGAAAGTAGTAATGAAGGAAGAACAAAGAGTGATTTCAAATTGGATAAAAAGGAAATTATTTGTGGATATTGATCATTTAATTTAATTAAGCTATATCATTGATATTAGCAGATTAATTAAACTCCTTTCCAAATATTCTCCAATAATCTCAGACAACTGTTGAAATCCCTTTTATTATAATGTATTAAGCAGAATAGAATGAAACAAAGAAATTAACATTTTTTTATATTTAACTATTTGGTAGTAGTTATCACTTAATTTACTAATTAATTAACATCATAAAATTTTTTTTTTCATATCTAATTTACAATTCTGTTAATTTATTCATTATTGGAATATTTTATCATTTAAAAAAAAACAAAAAATGCTTAACAGTTATAATGAAATTTGTTATAATACAGTAAGAAGAGAGAGAATAAAATGAATAAAAATGTTTGAAATTATATTACTGTAAAGTGAAAAGATTATGTTAAATAGAACAAAAATGAATTAATTAATATTATTCCATAAAAATAAAATTATCAGCTAAAAGATTAATTTGATAAGGTCATTATCTTAACTTTATTGATAATATCAGTGAATTGGTTTATGATCGATATGAGTGACCGACCAGCAGCAGTACAACATATGCAAGCAACAGCTGCATTAATGCATTTATTTCCCTGGTTTAGACAGCATCTCACCTTTTATATGTAGATTGATATGTATGTCTGTGTATGTGTGTGTATGTGTGTGCGTGTATGTATGTATGTGGTGTGTATGTGTGTGCGTGTATGTATGTATGTGTGTGTATGTATGTGCGTGTATGTATGTATGTGGTGTATATGTACATGTCTGTGTGCTTATATGATTTTGTTATGCTTACTTGATTAGCATTCGAAATTGCTATTTATAATATTTTTTCAACTCTATCATTCATCTATTTCTTCATGCAATATTATTATTATTATTATTATTATTATTATTATTATTATTATTATTATTATTATTATTATTATTATTATTATTATTATTATTATTATTATTGTTATTATTATTATTATTATTATTACTGTTATTAATTATAATTAAAATTAAAGAATTATTGTTGAATGACATAGGAGTAAATGAATAATTTTAGTTCTTAATTTGCTTAAGTGAAAACTTTTATGAAATAAACATGAAATATTGTTAAGGAAGAAAATTTACTCAAACATTAGCAAAACAAATTTTGAGTGAATGGTAAAATCTTTTGAATGAAATAGGTAAAATGTAACTTTTGGTAAATGTTGTAAATATTATAATTGTAAATGATTATTTCATTGTTGAATTAGTATAGAAGTAAACTCTCAAAATGTCATAATTTATAAATTTTAAATTTATAATCAGTATAGTATGTGTTGTGTTATTTACTGTGCACTTTACAAGTTTTTTTTTTTTTTAAATGAAATGAAATGAAATAGTAATACATCATTAATTTAAAGTCCGTTTGATAACAATGTGATAAACATTGTTAGTGATAATTGATAAAGTTAACAGATTATACATTGCTTTATAACTAAGCATTTTATTAGGGAAGAAAGCTATTTAGATATTAATTTAAATAAATAGTTTTTGTTATTGTGTACTAATTTAATTCGTAATAAGTTTACTTCTTAAATAGTTAAATAATGTATCAATAATTTTGATATACAAATGAATTAATTAAAATTTGAGTGCTAAAAGTTAGAAAATTAATCGATGAAATCGTTAAAATTGCTTATAACATTTTTTTTTTTCATTATTATATGAGCAAATTTTTGTAAAAATTTTGATTTAAAAAAGAAATAATATAGTAAATTGATAATATTAATTTAAATAAATTGAGTATAATTGAATAATTTAGAAAAATTATTTGATAATTCTTAGAGATTAAATGCTAGAAGATAGAATCAATGGAATCTATAAACAAATAATTCAATTGGATATAGCTGAGTGATTTTTAGAATTAATCTCTTCTAAAGATTAATTCAACTAATTTTAATTAATCTTTGCTTACTTCTCTTACTTCTTCATATTAATCTTTATTTATCATATTTGCTTAGTATAACAAATTTATTAAAATTTAAGTTAATATTTCTCTCACTTTTATCACTTTTTACTTGTTCAAAAGTAAAAGATTAATCGATAAAATGTTTATAAATTTAATTCATATCTTATAGTTTCTTTTGAGAATAACAAAAATAATTCTTTTTTTGTATTGGCACAAACAAAATTCAAATGATTAAAATTTGTTGAAATTCAATTGTTATGATAGCATTCTCAAATTGTTTACTTTTGAAAATTAGTTTACAAATATAATAACCAAAAGAGATTTTATAATTTCTTTAAAAAATAATAATAAATTCATTTTTATTTACGTTAGTATTGAAAAATCAAATTTAGAAATCTTAAATCAGTGTTATGTATTAGTAATAAAAAAAAAAAAAAATCAATTTTATGCTAAGTCAAATTTAACATTATTTCATCTGTTCGATAATTTAATTATCATTTAAAGTTTTAAATTTCATTAAAAATATGTTTAAGCTTAAAAGTTTGAATATTTGTCAAAATAAAAGAAAGAAAAACGGAAAAAAAAAATAAAAAAAAGGAACGAAGAAATGACTGTCACTTCATTTGTCATATAATAAGCTTTTCAATCATTTCCTACTTTACTTATTTCACTTTTTATTTCATTTCAACTTCCACTTTCAGATGCATTCATCTTTTATTTAAAAACAAATACATTGCTTATTTTACAAATATGAAAAAAAATAAAAAATAAAATAAAAAAATCCCTTTTTCGACACAAATATGTAATTTAAAAAAAAAAAGTGTAATTCGCATTTATCATTTCAAATAATAGTTGAAGGAAAAAAAAAAAAGAAAAATAAAAAACAAAACTATCAGTCATAAAAGATTTGTTATTTTGATGAAAACACAAATATTTAATGAAAAAATATTTTTTATTTAAGTTTTTCTAAAAAAAAAACAAATATTGTTTTGACAAATCAGCAATTTTAAATTAACAAATAATTATGATTAAATTCTAAAATTGAAAAATAAACAGACAAATGTAAATATTAGTTAATAATTGAAATGTTTAAATATATATATGAATAAGAAATTGTGCATTTATATGTTTGAAATTTGTTTTCAAAAAAAAGAAAGAAATTTCATTTTTCTCATTACTAAATTATTTGTTTATATTCTAATACATTTTTTTTATTTGACTAATAAATAAATTTGAAATTGAATTTTATTTGTTATTTGTTGACAAAAGCTTTTTCATCAAAATTTCATCGAATTTTAAATAAAAAAAGTAATCATTTGTTTGTTTTTTTTGTTTTTTTTTTTGCATTTTTTTTCTTTACTTTTCAAACTTTTAGTTTTAGCTTTTTTCAGATTTTTATCAAAAAATTGAACGAAAGAAAATTACATTTATTTAAAAAGTTTAAAATTTCAAGCAATAAATATAAATTTTTTCCATTCATTTAATTTTTAACATAAAATAAATAAGCAAATTTCCAAACATATTTTATTAGTTTTTCTTTTTTTTTTTTTCTTTTTGAAAAATATTCTTTAAAATTGATGAAGAAATTCATCAAAAAAAAAAAAGACGGAAATAGATATATTTCGATTAGATAAAAATAGATTTATTTCTATTAGTAAAAAAAAAAAAAATTCGAAATTTATTTCTTATTTATCAAAGAATTTTTGAAATATATTCATAATATGAAAAAATAAGTTAAAAATTTTAATTGAAAAATGACAAATTTTATATTTTATCAAAAATTTTATAAAAGAAGAAAGACTACACAAATTATATTTATTCAAAAATTTTAAATTTCAAGCAATAAATATTTTCTTTTTTCATTTATTTAATTTTCAACATAAAATAAATAAGCAAATTTTCAAACTCATTTTGTTATTACTATCATTTTGTTTTTTTTTTTCAAAAATATTCCTTAAAATTAATGACGAAAATCATTTAAAAAAGGAAAGAAATAGGTATATTTTCATTAGATAAATAAATAAATTCAAAAATATTACTTATTTAATTATATCGAATATAGCATTTATTGATTAAATAATTAATTAATTATTTACTGCTATATGAATTCCAACTTTAGTACATATTTGAAATAATATTTTATGCATAAAATTTTTAAGAAATTATCGCTAACAATGCTTAATCTAAAAGCATCTGCTGTTTATGAAAAGTATTATATGAGATGCATTTATATTTTCGATTTATTATAAGTTAAAATGATCATTAATTAATTACAAACAGATAAAACAATATCACTATTAATGTATAATTTTTCAAAACAAATTAACCGATTAATTA